TCAGAACCTGGAAAATGATTTTCCCACCAAAATGGTGGGAAATCATTTTCCTCAATTGGAAGAAAATAAGGCGCGTGAACTCAAGTCCAAGAAAATTAATTCCCACCTACTTTTTGCCATCAAACAAGGACAATTGCCTAGAAAAGGAAAACATTTTCCTTTTTCCCAAGAAAATTTGCCTTGTCAAACAGGGCCTAAGTGGAACGTTGATTTAGCTCTACTCAAAAAATATCAATGGGCGACAAATTGAATGTACCCATTAATATGACATCTTAAGGTACCGTTAAATCGATGAATCCTATCTACATTCAAGAGTCATGTCATTTTGATTGCCTATCTCCACGAGTTAGAAATAAACTGACTCGAATATAATAGTCTTTTTGACTCCTCGGTTGAATATTCAGAGAGGTCAATTAATAGTCTTTTCGACTCCTCGACTGAATGTATCCATTAATATGTCATCTTAAGGTATTAGTCGATGAATTTTATCTACGTTCAGGAGTCATATTGGTTTGATCGCCTATCTCTATGAGTAAGAAATAAGCTGACTCGAATACAATATTTGTCTTTTTGAGTCCTCAAGTCTGAATTTTCGGAGAGGCCAATTATAGAAAAAAAATTCATGAGAGAGAGAGAGAGAGAGGGTATGGTCAGATTAAAAAAGGTGTCTCCATCCTTCACCAAAAGGCCAATGCCTCCTTAACCCTCTTCAGCCTCCTAAAAGCCGTCCCCAGTTGTGCATTATGCCCCCTTTATATTTTTGTTACCACCCCTACCCATCATACCCCATCATTTTCTCCACCAACATTTTCTCCCTCTTTCGTGTGGTTTCTTGAAGATAACATTAAATCATTGTTCTAAAAAGTTTGTTTCGAGCCAAAGTTCGAGCAAAAGATCTCGCTTTATTAAAATTTTCAATTCTTAAACAACTAAATTTTTCCTTCCTCTGTTTCGTCATTCCTAGGCTTGCTGTATTAAATTTTTTATTTTTTTTTTCTTTTATTTGACTTTATTTTATTAATTTTTTAAAAAGTTTTCATTTGAATTTAATTTAATTTCAAGTTTTTAAAATATTTTATCTATGCAAAAATTAAAAATGACTTTATTCGATATAAAATTGAATTATATTGAAGCTACGTTGCTATCGACATTATGTAATTATCATATTGAGACTCCTTATTCTGTTAAAAACTTCGAAAGTATGTATGAAGTTCCTATAAATCTATTAAGTAGGACTTTTATAGTTGAAAATTGAAACTATTAAAAATTAGTCTAATTTTTGCATTTCGAATACTTGAAATTGTATAATTGACTAATTATGAGAATTATTAAGTAATTATAATTCTAGATGTTTAATATGAATTATTTTAATTATAAGACGATTTTTGAAATGATTAAAAATTTAAAATAATATTAAAAATAAGAAAACGTTTTTTTATGTCTAAGCGTCGCTTAAGCTCACTTAAACTTGTAAAGTTTGAAATTTCTCCTTCAAATTTAGTCACGCTTTACGCATTTTTGAACCCTCCCCATATTTTTTAACCTTCCCCATCATTTTCTCCACCAACATTTTCTCCCTCTTTCGTGTGGTTTCTTGAAGATGACATTAAATCATTGTTCTAAAAAGTATCTATCCTCAAAGTTCGAGCAAAACACCTCGCTTTATTAAATTTTTCAATTCTCAAACAACTAAATTTTTTCATTCCTCTTTTTCGTCATTCCCAGGCTCGCTTTATTAAATTTCTTTTTTTTTTCTTTTATTAAATTTTTAAAAAGTTTTCATTTGAATTTAATTTCAAGTTTTTAAAATACTTTATCTATACAAAAATTAAAAATGACTTTATTCGATATAGAATTGAATTAGATTAAAGCTACGGTGCTATTGACATTATGTAATTATGATATTGAGACTCGTTATTCTGTTAAAAGTTTCGAAAGTATGTATGAAGTTCTTATAAAATCTATTAAGTAGAACTTTTCTAGTTGAAAATTAAAACTATTAAAAATTAGTTTGATTTTTGCGTTTCGAATACTTGAAATTGTATAATTGACTAATTATGATAATTATTAAGTAAATATAATTCTAGATATTTGATATAAGTTATTTTAATTATAAGACGATTTTTGAAATGATTAAAAATTTAAAATAATATTAAAAATAAGAAAACGTTTTTTTACATCTAAGCGTCGCTTAATTCACTTAAACTCGCAAAATTTTGAAGTTTTGCCTTCAAATTTAGTCACGCTTTACGCTTTTTGGAACCCTCCCCATATTTTTTAACCTTTGGCTATTCAAATTCCCATGCGCCACTTCTCATGCAATTAAATTTTCTACTTGCCTCAATCAATTTAGTTCATCCAAACCCCACCTTTTACTTTAATTTAATTATTTTTCACTTTCTAAAAAAATCGAAGCCGGATTTTGCCAATAATCTTCAATTGACTAAAAGGTCGTCAAAATACCGACGCATATCTATTTGAGTGTAAAGCAAAAGGTCGATGCATGAAAGTATCGTATATAATTTGATCTCTTTGCAGACTGGGGAAGTTTCATCTGGTCTGGATTTTCGTTACTTATGGCGGCACAACGTCTCAAGGGAGAGAATATGCAAATTCCTAATTCTTTTTTAGGGATAAACACTTCATATAGAAATTTAAATAAATACGAAAAGAATAGAGAAAAAAAAAATCCTAGTCGATCGACTTGCTCACTCTCTCCAACCGACACATCCTTTCTCTGCCTCCCGGCTCGTCTGCATTGAAGGTGAATCCTCGGTTCCACCTAAATTAATATTAAATATCATCGACATTTAATAACATTATTCAAAACGTAATGATAAAACATATTTTAGCTACGTTGATCAAAGTTAACATATGTTAAGTCAATGTTAAGTTGTCAAATAAAAATACACTTAGGGCCTGTTTGATCTGACATCATTTTCAGGAAACTTGGAAATTGAATTCCATCTTGGTTTTGGCTTGTTTGATTGGTTTAATTTTCTAGGCAATTCATTTTCTTGGTTTTGGTTAGAATTGATTTTTCAATTTACTTTTTTTTTATTTAATTTTTTTTGACAATGGAAATAATTTATATCCCCAATAGTAACAAATTCTATCATTTTAATGGTCAATTTTCATGTAAAACAAAGTCAAGCGAATATAAAAAAATCCAAAATTTCGATATTTTTTATGTGAAAAATTATACTAATCAAACACAATTAATTGATAATTTCGAGGAAAATAATTTTAGGTAATTTAATTTTTTGAAATTTTATTTTCATACAAATTTCACTTCTGCAATAAACGACTAAAAAGGAATAAATTAGCATGTACAAGAAATTTCCACCGATTTTGCACAGAAGACAGAAGACAGCTGCCTTTCTATGAAAAATCTAGCTGTAGGAAGTGGGACCCAATGGAGAGTAGAGATAAGACCCCTATATAAACTCCCCCCTTGGTCTTAAATTTTTCGAACAGAAAATAAAACTGGAAGCAAATCAAAGAGAGATTGAGTGACCGTGGAAAGAAAACCTCCCTTTCCTTTTCATACACTAGTCTTCAATGGCTTCCTATGTCGAAAACCGGCAGTTCAGCCACCTCGAACCGTCTGTTCTTCGAGCTTTTAAGCCCGGTCCCACAAGCCATCACCACCGGTCTAACTCCCCGGTCCGGGGCTGCAACTTCCCATTTAGCTCTTTCCAAAACAAATTACCTAATGCGAATATTAGTGTACGTGATTATTATTCCTCTAGCGAGGACGATGATTATGGCGAAAAT